ATAGTGACACCCCCATACAATGCAGACATCCACTTCCCTGACCTAACTCCTTGCCCCAGCTAAAGGAGACCACCTCTCATGAGGGGAAGCCTGTTTGACCTCAAGACGCTAAGGTGTCCATTCCCCAACCAGCCATCCAGTCTTACACTGTAGTAAACATGCATCACTGACTTATGTGGAAAATTTGGAGGGAGCTCCTTATTAATATGTTGGCAGCACTTTACTCACTCTGAATACACTCTGCTTACGTATGTGTGGTATGCCCTACATGCCAGGATATGCAGTGCAGAAGAGGTGTGACTTTCTGAGCACATACACCTACCCCAAAGTGAATATTTAATTCCTTTTTTTATTCCTGAAAGATACATTTGAATCTACGGAAAGAAACTACAAATCAGCTCTTGACTAAATAGCTAAGTAGTTTGTGCCACAGTAATTAGTAAGATTCTTTCAGCTGAAGCAGTATTATCGCATAATAAATCTTCTCCCTTCTGTGTAGCTGTATGCAAATTTAACAAGTAAAATAACTTAGTAGCCATGAAAAATTAGCATGCTTTTCATTTTGTAGCATCCTTCCTAGATGTGCAGTCTTCTAGAGCTGATACATCTAGAATGACTGCAAGAAATACAGCACTTCCCCGAGAGTGAGGAAAGAGTGGCCTTATGGTTCTGTTAACATGGCAGCATTTTAAAAGAAGAGGACAGATTCTCAACTGTGCCAAGTTTACACTCCATCTTGCTGAGCAGAGTGGCAGGGAAAGGCGGCTCCTCTGATCCTTTAAATTATGCTGGCTGTAGCAGTCACACACACACACTGCAGAGCTGCCCAGGCCTCAGGTGGAATGCTGTGTATTCTGCCCCACCCCTTCCTTGTTCCTCCTGATGTCAGGGGAATCTTCGGCTACTCCTTTAGGGTTGCTTTCCACCTGCATTTGTGTGCTCCCTCAACAATCCAAGCTGGCAAAGTCAGGGCTGAGACTCTGTTCAAGCAATTATCTAATTTTAAACATACCTGTGATGCTTTCTTTTGTGATTTTAATCACTCTTTGAGTCTTATTTTGGGCTGCATGTGTCTGTGTGTATTTTCAAGGTGAATACTGAATATAGGTACGTGGGTCAGGCAGGTATTAGATGTTGCTGAATATTAACAGGGAGTTTTTTAATAAACGAGAAAGGAATTGTGTATGCAGCAAAATTACAATAGTGGAGACTTCTTACTAATTTGTTGTACAAGAAGAAAATGTGCTTCCCTTATTTTTATAATCAAACCAGGACAAAAAATTGGATTCAACTCAGGCAGTTACGCATTCCGAGCTTGGACATATCTAACAGAATCAGGATGGAGTGGAAACACAGGAATCTACCAGTTTCTACCCCATCCATATCTAATACCAGCACAGCTACAGTACAATGAAGAGTCAACAAAATGGGGCAAAGAGCCAGGTAGAGAGATTTGCCAACTTCTCATAAGGGTTCCTGATTCTTTCCTATACCTCCTCAGTGTTAATGTTTACCATGGGATCAAATAGGGCACACCCCTCTCTAAGCTGGGCCGTTCTTTTGTACTACACTTGAGCCTGGGCCAGAGTTTTATGTGAACCTTCAAAAGTTTCATTTCCAGCCTTAAGCCAGGCAAATTTTACACTGCTGTGTCATAAATATAAAGGGAAGGGTAAACCCCTTTGAAATCCCTCCTGGCCAGGGGAAAGCTCCTCTCACCTGTAAAGGGTTAAGAAGCTAAAGGTAACCTCGCTGGCACCTGACCAAAATGACCAATGAGGAGACAAGATACTTTCAAAAGCTGGGAGGAGGGAGAGAAACAAAGGGTCTGTGTCTGTCTGTATGCTGCTTTTGCCAGGGACAGAACAGGAATGGAGTCTTAGAACTTTTAGTAAGTAATCTAGCTAGGTATGTGTTAGATTATGATTTCTTTAAATGGCTGAGAAAAGAATTGTGCTGAATAGAATAACTATTTCTGTCTATGTATCTTTTTTGTAACTTAAGGTTTTGCCTAGAGGGGTTCTCTATGTTTTTGAATCTAATTACCCTGTAAGATATCTACCATCCTGATTTTACAGGGGGGATTTCTTTATTTCTATTTACTTCTATTTTTTATTAAAAGTCTTCTTGTAAAAAACTGAATGCTTTTTCATTGTTCTCAGATCCAAGGGTTTGGGTCTGTGGTCACCTATGCAAATTGGTGAGGCTTTTTATCCAACATTTCCCAGGAAAGGGGGGGTGCAAGTGTTGGGAGGATTGTTCATTGTTTTTAAGATCCAAGGGTCTGGGTCTGTAGTCACCTAGGCAAATTGGTGAGGCTTTTTACCAAACCTTGTCCAGGAAGTGGGGTGCAAGGTTTTGGGAAGTATTTTGGGGGGAAGGACACGTCCAAACAGCTCTTCCCCAGTAACCAGTATTAGTTTGGTGGTGGTAGCGGCCAGTCCAAGGACAACGGGTGTAATATTTTGTACCTTGGGGAAGTTTTGACCTAAGCTGGTAAAGATAAGCTTAGGAGGTTTTTCATGCAGGTCCCCACATCTGTACCCTAGAGTTCAGAGTGGGGGAGGAACCTTGACATGCTGTAAAAGCAACTACGATGGTGGAACCTTAAAAGGTCCTCCTGTAATCTCCTCCTATAACCTCCTGTAACTTTCCTCTCTGTAATCTCCTCCTATTTCCTAGTTTCTGACCCCACCTAATGTACCACACATTTATTTTGGTGCATAAACACTGTAGTGAAAGTACACTTGAGAAACACATAGTATGATAAAGGAAATTTAATCTAACAGTTCTTAGGCATCCTTCTCCCCCTACATGACCTTCTTTCTCTTCCTTTCCTGTGTGCCCCAGGGTGAGCAAAATGTGGACAGTCATAGTAAAGCTGGGTGGGTGGCCAAAAAGAATCATAGAATATCAGGGTTGGAAGGGATCTCAGGAGGTCATCTAGTCCAACCCCCTGCTCAAAGCAGGATCAATCCCCAACTAAATCATCCCAGCCAGGGCTTTGTCAAGCCTGACCTTAAAAACCTCTAAGGAAGGAGATTCCACCACCTCCCTAGGTAACTCATTCCAGTGCTTCACCACCCTCCTAGTGAAATAGTTTTTCCTAATATCCAACCTAAACCTCCCCCACTGCAACTTGAGACCATTACTCCTTGTTCTGTCAATAAAGAGAAAAATAGAGTCCATGCTTGCATCTGAAAACACAGTTTGAGTTTATGTTGGGGCAGCAACTTGGCCTGGTCTACTTGAAAAAGTTACACTTGTTTAATTTAAATAATTTTTTAAAATCGTTTTTCACTTATATTCAGTTCATAACTGAATTTTCTTACTATATATGTGTACAGCACCTAGCACACGGAGTCTCAATATATGTTCAGGTCTCAAAGTGCTACTGTAATATAAATAATAATAATTATTATTTATTGCAGTAGTAGGCAAGGCCCCAAGTATGGATCGAGGCCCAAACACAAAACAAAATGATGGGCCCTCTTCTCAAGCTCTCACAATGTAAGTACAGAATAAGACACAACAGGCGGATACAACAAACGAATAATGTAAAGGGAACTATGTTGTGGCTTGCCTAACATATTGAAGGGTGTACAGCACATGATCAACTCATAATTATATCTTACATACAGTAATCTGAAGGAACACACTGTCTATACTTCTACTGACAATTTTCTTAACCAGTACCATTGGAGCTTACTGCCAGACACAAAGTACAGTGTATCACGCCATGTAGTTTCACAGCACATATTCATTTCCTCATTCCACTTCTGTTTATATTTTAATACCAATTCTTCCCAGAAAAGAAAGAAGATTGCAAAGTTTTCAGTTATTGTACCAATATATTAGGTCTGATTCTCATTTACAGTAAGGCCCACTGCCAGGGGACGCACTGTAAATGAGAAACAGGTCCAGCATATTTTTTTAAAAGAAATATTAACTTTAATGCCTGATTGTCCCCTATAACTTCCTTTTCAATTTACTGATGAATTGATTTACTCAAGTTCACTAAGTTTTCTACCCCAAACTCATATACTGGGTTTGAAGGTGTCCGTAAGCTGAAGACTCAGAACACAATCCTGTCAGCTTTCAGATCCACTGACACGCTGCCATGTACTGATTTAATGTTGTGATGTTGGTCTGAAATCCTTCCCTTTGATAGTTCCCTCAGGTGAACGTCTCTGCTTACCTGGACCTCTTCTTGATGTTACTTTATCCTAATTCTAATCCTTTTAATATATTTTTCCTTCAAATATTGAATTTATTATTATTCCATGCACTTCCCAGGGTCTGTCACTGTGAATGGTGCCAGACTGACAGCCTTGGAAACCAAAGACCTCTATGCATTCACATAACACATCATGGATAGCAGCAGCACAAACTCCCACACACTACCTGTCAGCATACCTCTGTTCTAAACTGGAAGGTAGTTCAGTATTCGTGCTGTTGCAGTTCTTAACATATGTGCCAAGACTGCCAAAGTAACGCCAGCTATAAGGCTGTCATGTGTAATAAGCACTGACTTGAGACCAACAACTCACTTCATGCAGGTCAATGAACAGTCCCAGAGAGTAACACATTTCAATCACTTCAGACCAGAGCTGGATTTGAACTGGTCATCTAAGAATGAACGCCTCTGTATCCCATTAGTATTGAGCTACCTGATCTTCCCATTCAATCTCTGGTTCTCGTGCCAGAGTGCACAGTGTCTCAAACTTGGTAGGACAAGTCACCATGCAGGAGGTGGGATTCTAATTCTGTGCTCCTAGTGTATTTAAATGAATTAGGTGTCATATCTTTCTTTAGAAATCTTCCTTTATCAACTATTTTGTGCTATGTATCGCTGCCCCTAACAGATAGCTACTGAGCAGCAGTTATAAAAAAAATATCCAAATGACAGCAAGAATCAGGTAAAAGGCACACGTATAATTCACGGCAATAACCAACCAATTCCTTTTGGTAATATCCAATCTTTCTTATTAGAGACTAACCTGCATACTTCTAAATCATCAGACCAGTCATCATATAAAACAGGAATTTTCTGAACTGCATCTGTCACATTGGGCCCTGCCCCAACAGGTTCTCCATTTTCTGGAACTGTCAGAGTATCACTGCCAGAGCCTCTCTCTGTAAAGCCTTCCTCGACCACTTTATTTTGTCTAAGGTGAGATGAAGACTGCAGCCCTTGGGGGTAGCTTCTGCCCCTGTTTTTTCCACATTTTCTTGAGAAACTCCTCGCCTCCGGAGAGGACACTGAAGACAGCGAAAGGCAAGATTCTTTACATCTTGAAACCCTTCTCCTCCTGTGATTTAAAGTGTGGTTATCAGAATCAGACACCTCTTGTTTCTTTTCCCCCGTTGTCCCCAGGGTGACAAGTTCAATGGCATTGTTATTTGGAGATCCATCTGGGTTACTGCAAGATCTATTGCTCCTTCTCCCTCTCCTGGGCACTTTGACCTTTTCTCTGGCTCTCCTTCTAGCTTGAGCCCACTGATTCTCATCTGAGGATGATGAATCATACGTTTCCTTGTGCAATGCATTGCATCTGGAGCTTGCAACCATCGGGTACAATTTGCAGTCCTTCCCTTTTCTTTGCTTTTCTGTATGCTCAACATTGTCCCCAATCGCTTTTCTCCGCCTAAACCTTCGTTTCACTTGTTTCTTACCAGACTCCCTACTAGCAGGGGTAAGCACCATGACAGGTGTTGCATGTTCAGACTCATCTTCTGACACATCATGCAAGGTGGTAGATCTAAACAAAGCAGCAGCAAAAGAGAGAGATGGAAAATGGTAAAGAAAGAACAAAAAAAGAGAGAGATGAAAATAGAAACGAGTTGATTTAATAGAAAATATGAGATTGAAAAGGAAACATGACAAAAACAAGAGCTCAAAAGAAAACCCAGATATATGGAATTCATGAATAATGCTAGGCAGAAGCAATAGCTTATGTTCAGCTTACTAGACAAAGAAAAAAACTAATGTTTGACAGACAGATTAAAATGACTGATTAAGCACCTACCTACAGATGTCCTGAGTGGAAGGACATACAGACAACCGTGACTGACTCCTAGGAGCTGTTCCTGTTGTAGGACTGCTTGCCTGTTGAAAAAAGTTAGACAATTTGGAATCTTTGCTCATAAAATACATTGCAGATATTTTACTGCTTTGCCACATGATTAAAAAGTTTAAACAACTGTTGCAGTTGTGCATGGTCTTCTGTTGCAAGCACACAAGTTCGCAAAATACAGGAAGAGTGAACGGAAGTAAAACCTTTTTGAGGAACTAAATATGACTGAAGGGCCGCAGCTCTCATTTGACCTTGGGTATTTTTTTGTTTCAGGAAGAGGCTTTCATCAGCTGAGATTTCATTTTAGTTCTGATCTACTGTAAGTGTTTGATGGAAAAAAAGGTTGGTTTCTATTTCAAGCAGGCAAATAAGTATGACGATCCTTGTCAGAATGAAATAAGACACATTGACATTGTTGTGAATCAGGATGAGCGCAGAGGCTCAGCTTGCAAACCTGCATGGCATGGAGTGACCAAGCATCATGAATATTAAAACATTTTTTAAAAAGGTTTCCAAGGCAATCAAATCATCTACCGGAGTTGAATGAATGTGAAATTGATGAGCCTGAGAAAGTCCAAAGTTCAGGCTGCAACTCTACAGAGCCTATCAAATTCTCCAAACAGCAGGAGAGAGAAATTCAATACACATACAAATCTACTGTACATTCCCTTCCTAAGGTTGTCACTGCAATTTGCAAAGCGCATCCAGTAAGAAACATGTTTTGATGGTGCTGAGAAGAAACAATTTTGGTCTGCCTGATAGTTTATTGGTAGGGTGGCTATGGGGGATCCAAATTTAGGTCCTGAGAGATTCCTGGTTTACCAGGGACTAGATCAGGGGTAGGCAACCTATGGCACGCATGCCAAAGGAGGCACGCGAGCTAATTTTCAGTGGCACTCACACTGCCTGGGTCCTGGCCACTGGTCCGGGGTGGGAGGGGGGCTCTGCATTTTCATTTAATTTTAAATGAAGCTTCTTAAACATTTTAAGAACCTTATTTACTTTACATACAACAATAGTTCAGTTATATATTATAGACTTATAGAAAGAGACCTTCTAAAAATGTTAAAATGTATTACTGGCACGCGAAACCTTAAATTGGAGTGAATAAATGAAGACTCGGCACACCACTTCTGACAGGCTGCCGACCCCTGGACTAGATTGTGGAGCCAGCACACTTGCTTCTATAGGGAGAGGGAGCAACAAAGTAGCTGAAGTATCTGAACCCTCCCCCTGGCTGATATGGGGCACTATGATATGGGATGCAATCCTGTGAGGAGCTGAGAACCTTTAATACAGTGGGAGACAGAGGGTATGTCTACACTACAGAATAAGGTCGAATTTATAGAAGTCGTTTTTTTAGAAATCGGTTTTATATATTCATGTGTGTGTGTGTCCCCACAGAAAATGCTCTAAGTGCATTAAGTGCATTACCTCGGTGGAGTGCTTCCACAGTGCCGAGGCTAGAGTCGACTTCTGGAGTGTTGCACTGTGGGTAGCTATCCCACACTTCCCGCAGTCTCCGCTGCCCATTGGAATTCTGGGTTGAGATCCCAATGCCTGATGGGGCTAAAACATTGTCGCGGGTGGTTCTGGGTACATATCGTCAGGCCTCCGTTCCCTCCCTCCTTCCCTCCGTGAAAGCAAGGGCAGACAATCATTTCGCGCCTTTTTTCCTGAGTTACCTGTGCAGGCACCATACCACGGCAAGCATGGAGCCCGCTCAGGTAACTGTCACCCTATGTCTCCTGGGTGCTGGCAGACGCGGTATGGCATTGCTACACAGTAGCAGCAACCCATTGCCTTCTGGCAGCAGACGGTGCAGTATGACTGGTAGTCGTCCTCGTCGTGTCCGAGGTGCTCCTGGCCACGTCGGCTGGGAGCGCCTGGGCAGACATGGGCGCAGGGACTAAATTTGGAGTGACTTGACCAGGTCATTCTCTTTAGTCCTGCAGTCAGTCCTATTGAACCGTCTTATGTGAGCAGGCAGGCGATAGGGATTGCTAGCAGTCGTATTGTACCATCTTCTGCCAGGCAGGCAAGAGATGAGGATGGCTAGCAGTCGTACTGTACCATCTTCTGCCGAGCAGCCATGAGATGTGGGTGGCATGCAGTCCTTCTGCACCGTCTGCTGCCAGCCAAAAATGTAAAAGATAGATGGAGTGGATCAAAACAAGAAATAGACCAGATTTGTTTTGTTCTCATTTGCTTCCCCCCCTCCCCTGTCTAGGGGACTCATTCCTCAGGTCACAGTGCAGTCACTCACAGAGAAGGTGCAGCGAGGTAAATCTAGCCATGTATCAATCAGAGGCCAGGCTAACCTCCTTGTTCCAATAAGAACAATAACTTAGGTGCACCATTTCTTATTGGAACCCTCCGTGAAGTCCTGCCTGAAATACTCCTTGATGTAAAGACACCCTCTTTGTTGATTTTAGCTCCCTGAAGCCAACCCTGTAAACCGTGTAGTCAGTCGCCCCTCCCTCCGTCAGAGCAACGGCAGACAATCGTTCCGTGCCTTTTTTCTGTGCGGACGCCATACCAAGGCAAGCATGGAGGCCGCTCAGCTCACTTTGGCAATTAGGAGCACATTAAACACCGCACGCATTATCCAGCAGTATATGCAGCACCAGAACCTTGCAAAACGATACCGGGCTAGGAGGCGACGTCAGCGCGGTCACGTGAGTGATCAGGACATGGACACAGATTTCTCTGAAAGCATGGGCCCTGGCAATGCATGCATCATGGTGCTAATGGGGCAGGTTCATGCTGTGGAACGCCGATTCTAGGCTCGGGAAACAAGCACAGACTGGTGGGACCACATAGTGTTGCAGGTCTGGGACGATTCCCAGTGGCTGCGAAACTTTCGCATGCGTAAGGGCACTTTCATGGAACTTTGTGACTTGCTTTCCCTTGCCCTGAGGCGCATGAATACCAAGATGAGAGCAGCCCTCACAGTTGAGAAACGAGTGGCGATAGCCCTGTGGAAGCTTCAACGCCAGACAGCTACCGGTCAGTTGGGAATCAATTTGGAGTGGGCAAATCTACTGTGCGGGCTGCTGTGATGCAAGTAGCCCACGCAATCAAAGATCTGCTGATATCAAGGGTAGTGACCCTGGGAAATGTGTAGGTCATAGTGGATGGCTTTGCTGAAATGGGATTCCCTAACTGTGGTGGTGCCATAGACGGAACCCATATCCCTATCTTGGCACCGGAGCACCAAGCCGCCGAGTACATAAACCGCAAGGGGTACTTTTCGATAGTGCTGCAAGCTCTGGTGGATCACAAGGGACGTTTCACCAACATCAATGTGGGATGGCCGGGAAAGGTGCATGACGCTCGCATCTTCAGGAACTCTGGTCTGTTTCAAAAGCTGCAGGAAAGGACTTTATTCCCAGACCAGAAAATAACTGTTGGGGATGTTGAAATGCCTATATGTATCCTTGGGGACCCAGCCTACCCCTTTATGCCATGGCTCCTGAAGCCGTACACAGGCAGCCTGGACAGTAGTCAGGAGCTGTTCAACTACAGGCTGAGCAAGTGCAGAATGGTGGTAGAATGTGCATTTGGATGTTTAAAGGCGCGCTGGCGCAGTTTACTGACTCGCTTAGACCGCAGCGAAACCAATATTCTCACTGTTATTACTGCTTGCTGTGTGCGCCACAATATCTGTGAGAGTAAGGGGGAAACGTTTATGGCGGGGTGGGAGGTTGAGGCAAATCGCCTGGCTGCTGGTTACGCGCAGCCAGACACCAGGGCGGTTAGAAGAGCACAGGAGGGCGCGGTACGCATCAGAGAAGCTTTGAAAACCAGTTTCATGACTGGCCAGGCTACGGTGTGAAAGTTCTCTTTGTTTCTCCTTGATGAAACCCCCCGCCCCTTGGTTCACTCTACTTCCCTGTAAGCTAACCACCCGCTCCTCCTCCCTTCAATCACCGCTTGCAGAGGCAATAAAGTCATTGTTGCTTCACATTCATGCATTCTTTATTCATTCATCACACAAATAGGGGGATGACTACCAAGGTAGCCCAGGAGGGGTGGTGGAGGAGGGAAGGAAAATGCCACACAGCACTTTAAGCACAGCACTTTAAAAGTTTACAACTTTAAAATTTATTGAATGACAGCCTTCTTTTTCTTGGGCAATCCTCTGTGGTGGAGTGGCTGGTTGGCCGGAGGCCCCCCCACTGCGTTCTTGGGTGTCTGGGTGTGGAGGCTATGGAACTTGGGGAGGACGGCGGTTGGTTACAGAGGGGCTGCAGTGGCAGTCTGTGCTCCAGCTGCCTTTGCTGCAGCTCAACCATACACTGGAGCATACTAGTTTGGTCCTCCAGCAGCCTCAGCATTGAATCCTGCCTCCTCTCAACACGCTGCCACCACATTTGAGCTTCAGCCCTCTCTTCAGCCCGCCACTTACTCTCTTCAGCCCGCCACCTCTCCTTCCGGTCATTTTGTGCTTTCCTGCACTCTGACATTATTTGCCTCCACGCATTGGTCTGTGCTCTGTCAGTGTGGGAGGACAGCATGAGCTTGGAGAACATTTCATCGCGAGTGCGTTTTTTTTTCTTTCTAAGCTTCACTAGCCTCTGGGAAGGAGAAGATCCTGTGATCATTGAAACACATGCAGCTGGTGGAGAAAAAAAAAAGGGACAGCGGTATTTAAAAAGACACATTTTATAAAACAGTGGCTACACTCTTTCAGGGTAATCCTTGCTGTTAACATTACATACATAGCATATGTGCTTTCGTTACAAGGTCGCATTTTGCCTCCCCCCACCGCGTGGCTATCCCCTCAACCTTCCCCCCTCCCTGTGGCTAACAGCGGGGAACATTTCTGTTTAGCCACAGGCAAACAGCCCAGCAGGAATGGGCTCCTCTGAGTGTCCCCTGAAGAAAAGCACTCTATTTCAACCAGGTGACCATGAATGATATCTCACTCTCCTGAGGATAACACAGAGAGATAAAGAACGGCTGTTGTTTGAATGCCAGCAAACATACACTGCAATGCTTTGTTCTACAATGATTCCCGAGTACGTGT